TGAACCTATGGGAAACCAGTGCTGGAGCAGGTTTCCTGGTAGGACTTGTGGCCCTGTGGGGAACCCACACTGTAGCAGCCTGTGCCTGAAGGACTACACCCTGTGGAAGAGTGACCCACGTTGCAGCACTTCATGGAGAACTGTCTCCCATGGGAAGGACCCCACACTGGAGTAGAAGGACTGTTCTCCCTGAGCAGCAGCAGGAACAGTATGAACTGACCATAACCCCCATTCCCTGTCTTCCTGTGCCACTGGCAGGGAGGAGATAGAGCCCAGGAAGGAGAGAGGGGTGAGGGGAACGTGTTTGAAGATTTATTTTACTTCTCATTATCCTGCTCTGATTTTGTTAGTAATAAATTTAATTAATATCCCAAATTCAAGTCTGTTTTGCTTGTGACAGTATTTGGTGAGTGATCTCTCACAGACCTTATCTCAACTCATGAGCCTTTTTAATATTTTCTCTCTTCTGTCCAGTTGCAGAGAGAAGTGATGGAGTGGCTTTGGTGGGTGTCTGGCAGCCAGCCAGAGTCAACCTACTACAGTAGGAAATATTCTGACGCAGTGCTGATCTGCACTGTATTCAACCAACCTTGCATGATCATGCAGGATTGTCTTAACCCCCCAGACTGATTAGCAGTGGTTCCTGCCACCTTCATACAAGGGCAGTGCACTGTCTCTGGAGCACTTGTAGCTCTGACCTGTGCTCTAAACACAACCGGAACACTTCATGCCTGGAACTCCATCAGCTTTTGGATTTTTACTGTATCCCAACTTAATGATGACAGTCACAGTAAGAAAAGCTTGCTAATTATTCTTAATCTGTTCTGCTGCTTTTCGACTTTTATATGTAGCCTTTCCTGGAAAAGCCTCTAACCCTATTACAAATAAATTGGAAAGTAAGCAAGGAGGAGTTAAATGATTGGTGTCCCATTTGCTAAAAGTTTGAGATAATGTGCACCAGGTTTCCAGACTTTCTGGTCTCTTAAGTGTGTGGTAAGTTGCCTTTTCCAAAGATTATAAGTGAAAATTACAGTTCAGTTAGAAGGTTAGTTATGCTTTTATTCTGTGCTGTTTGTCCCAGCTCAGGTTTGTGCTGCTGAAAGATATTTCTGCCACTGTAAACTCGGGTTGATGAAGCTCCTTTCTGCATAGGTACCTTTTTTCCACTAGGATTTCCCTCTGGATCGGGGAGGGGAGAAGGTAGAGAGACAGAAGCTGCTGGCACTCAAGCTTGCAGCACCGGGAGCTTGTCCTGCAAGGATGACTGTTGGCTGGTCTCTTTGTAGGCAAAGTTGATTTCCTTTGCTCTAGCAAAGCACAGCAGAGAATTTCGAGGAGGCTTCTTTGAGTGCAACCATGTCCTGATAATCCGTCAGCTTCTAGAAGAAATTACTCAAAGTCATCTAGCTCTGGAGGTGGTTTTCTTCTTTGAAGTTTGGACCGTTCCTTTCCCAAACCCTTGTGATTATCTAGTGAAATAAAGGGCCCAAGTGAAGGCAAACATTTTTACCAGAAACCCCCATTCACTGAAGACCTCTGTCTTGGAAGTGGTCCGTGTTGACACTAATTGCTGTCTCTTGTGTGGTTGTAGGTGTTTGATCTCAGGACACAATTGATTCTGTTATTTAGAAAAGTGGCAGAAATTGAACTATGTGTCATTGTCAAACAGTTACTGATTGTTACAGTTCACAGCTTTGAAAAAGCTATTGAAATATAATTTAAAGCCTTTTTGAATTCCTGCATCTTGCACCACTGAATGCTCTCCTCTCCCTTCCCATTAATGCCAGTAGCCCCAGTAGTTACAACAAACTACATGGTGAATTATTTATGGCAGTTTAAATTCCAAACTGTTTGCAACTGAAAGTAAATGAATGCTGAGCTCTATCACATTAAAAATTTGAATTGAAATATTTATCGTGCAGGGGAATAAATTACCTTAGAGTAATTAAATATCTTGAGTTATATCTGCACATCTTGTTTGGTATATTTGCCTTTGCATTCAGTGTTTAGACTTTTGCAGGGTTTGCGAGGTAATATCTGTGGCACAGACATAAGTCAAGAAAAAATATTTTTAAATTTGCCAAGGAGATATATATGTGCACAAACACACACACATATCCTAGATTCAGTTGTGGCTGATTAAGTGGTTTTCTCATCTGATGTCAGATGAGACCTTCCTAACTCCTGTTTTCAGTTTCTTAATGCCCCTATTTTCTGCCACTTCCTTTCTTCAAATGTCCCGAGCATCAGCCGTTCATGCAGGTGAATACTGTGGCTCCCTGGGTCCCCTGGGTGACATGTCTGAGATGATTCTGAAAGATTCCTAGTCTCTGGCTTAAAAAATTAATTCTCTTTTTAATATCCATCCCAGCTGTCTGTGATCTTTAAAGAATAGTTAATTCTGTTTACTGGCTCTGTTTCTTGATTGAAATTTAAATAAAAACTCACCCACGACATTCTTCTCTGATAATTTATGAAAAAAATGTTTTCCAGTGCAGAATAATTATGTGATTACATCAGTTGGAGTCTATTCTATGCAGTTTGAGCTTGATGTCTATGCTGGTGACTGAGAGGGAATAAATGACTGTCCAGGCTGGTCCAGAGTGGGTTGGAGACTTCATCAGTGGCAGTTCTCACAAAACACGAGATTATTCAGTGCCTGCCTTAGTCCATTTGCTGGTCTGTGGAGCCCCGAATATGTTACTCGTGTCCCATGTGCTAAAAAAGTGGGTTTATTGCTCCTCTCATCTGTGTTGTGTTGGGATCTGTTAAACAGCGCAATCGGCACTGTCATTTCTTCTCATTTTACTTCAAATCTCTGACACTTCACTCCTCTAAAAGAGTATCTTCACTGAAAAGTGTGTCATGTGCCAGTTACATTTACCAATGGGCTAAAAATGAAATAGAATACTGCAATTTTTTAATCTTTTCTTTCTCTGAAAATGAAAAGGTCTTTTTCTGCAAAAGTCTAAGTGACTGAGGAATTCTTTTCCCCATCCTTTTTTCTGGATATCAGATGGGAGAAGTACAGTAAACTGGATGATATTTGATTCCTTGGGAGGCTACTCTTTCCTTCATAAGAAACAAAAGGTATCATTTGTCCTTGGGAGAGACCAAAAGAGGGCAAATGAAGTGTCCAAAGGAGAACAACAAAGATGGTGAAGGGCACTGATGGGAAACCGTATGAGGAGCAGCTGAGGGCACTTGGTCTGTTCAGTCTGGAGAAGAGGAGACTGAGAGGAGACCTCATTGCAGTTCCAACTTCCTTGGGAGGGGAAGAGGAGGGGCAGGACCTGAGAGAATGATCTGAAGTTGTGTCAGGGGAGGTTTAGGTTGGATATTAGAAAAAGGTTCTTCACCCAGAGGGTGTCTGGGCACTGGAACAGGCTCCCCAGCGAAGTGGTCACAGCACAAAGGGGCTGACAGAGTTCAAGATGTGTTTGGACAATGCTCTCAGGGACATGGTGTGACTCTTGGGCATGTCCTGTGCAGGACTAAGGATTGGACTCAGTGATCCTTGTGAGTCCCTTCTAACTCAGCAGATTCTGTGAGACCAACATTGCTGATGAGCTGTTGAACCCATCTGAGCTCTCTGAAGCTCATACGGGTCTCAGGATCTTTGGTCCCCTAAGATATTTTGACATTTGGGGTTTAATTTTCATCTTCATTAGGAATCTTATGGTTAAAATAATGTTGCATGAAAACGTGCATCTTTTCCGTGTGCTCTGATATGCCCCCTCTCTTTATTATCACTTTCAGTTATTTGTTTACTATGTACAATGTGGTCTGTTAGTAGGAGTCATAAAGCTGAGGTTTGGACTGTATGTAGCAATATGTGTTGCTAATTTATATGCCTCAATCACTGATAAAAATAAAGATCAAAAGTAATATTTCATTCCTCAGGGAAAACAGATCAGACTGTGTTGATGGAAGCCTGCCCTAGATTCATGAACGAAGTATTGACTCATTAGTAGTCAATTCAGAAAATTAATTTTTTTTACCCATGAGTTAGGTAGTGTGCTTGTTTGCAATGTAAGAATATTTGCAAACAAAACAAAGATTACTCCTTTCCTAGGAGGAAATTATTTGTGCTATTTGAAATTTGCTGATATTTTTCATACTCGGTGAAGAATAATTGGCACATAGGCAATTCTGACAAGAGAGAAACTCAGAAAGGCATTAAGCTACATCAGGAAAAAAAATACATAGACCAGACAAAGGAACACGTTTCAAATGTAGATTCGTCCCTGCAGTAGCAGGTGGAGCAGGAGTGCCTGACGTGCCCCAGTACCTGACAAGATTCCAACCTTTATTGGCAGCAGCCAGCAAGACAGCAAAGTGATTTACTTGTTATATGACCAGTCGTTTTTATTGAATGAAATGTAATGAACTGTTAAACATTGCGTAAAAATATTTTTAGAAAGAAAAGAATGGTCAAAGGTAACCTCCCCCATGAATTGAGGAAATTATTTCATGTATTATTTAAACGCTTTGCTAGCAATTTGCTTTGACTAGTTCTGGCAGCAGTCTGTTGAGTAAGGCAGGTGCCCTGTCATTCTTATCAGAAAGTACCTCTGAATATCTGTCAGACTATTACTTACAGTAGCTGTCTATTTTTCAGGCTTCTGTAGGAGACTGATGTTCAGTAAGAAGTATTTGATTAGGCAGTATAATTTATATACATGAATATAATTGTGTATGCTGTGGCAGCCTAATGAGTTAAACTTAAGCCCTATATTTATTTGCAAGGTTTGCGAAGTGATTTTTTTTTAATAAAATATACTATGTGTGTTTGTTTTCATATGCTGTTAGATTATTGACTGTGGAGAATACTGAGGCTTTTATTTGTATCAACAGTTATATATACACGTATACATATAGTCAAAGTGTGTAAAAACACTGCAACTGTAAATTAAAGGGTTATGGAAGGTAATGGTTTTCATTTTTATTGTAAAGACTTTCTAATGTTTTTCTGTGGTTGTTCTTTTGTTGTTTTACAGTTAAAGAATCTGAGTTTGGAAGAATTACAGATGAGATTAAAAGCTTTGGACCCTATGATGGAACGAGAAATTGAGGAGCTTCGTCAGAGGTACACTGCAAAGAGGCAACCCATCCTAGATGCGATGGATGCAAAGAAACGGAGGCAGCAAAATTTCTGAGTTTGTTTTACTTTCAGACATAATACTATGAGTCGCTGTGGACACTGGTAACTTTGTAACAGTCTGAAGGAATTGGATTATGAGAGTTTTCAAAAACCCAGTCTGTTGAAATTTCCTTCACAAGCAATGACAATTGGAGCAGTGAAAGAATATACATATGGTGTTCTGCAAAGGCAGAGAAACACATCACCACTTGTTTGCATTTTCAAATGTTTAATGTAATACAAGTTTAATCTGTTACTTCCCAATCTTTTTCAGGTATATAGTGGTAATTTGGTGTTGTACATTGGGAATTGTGTTTTGGAGCACCTGGAATGATTTCTCGATTGTGCAACACTACCGAGCCTTATATTGCAATGTATTTTTCTTCCCCTTAGTAGCATATTTATTATGTAATCTTTGGTTATCCTATTTATTTTATGCCTGTTTCCTTTTACGTTGGGAAGTATTAGGATAATATTGTGGAGAGCAGAGTCAGATTAGATAAAATTGGTATTATGGTATAATGAAAAGTTGCTCACCACTCTATTATCTTTTAACAATTTCCAATTTCAGCAAGCATCCCAGTTCAGGACAGCACTTGAACATGTATCCAGCCGATTTGTATCAGTAGGATTTAAGCAGAAAGTAAGAGTAACAGGCACATGTTTTCCTGCTCTCCTGAATTAAGGACTGTGGTTGTAGTTGAGCAGTACAGTTGTTACACTACAGAGGATTTTTAGAGAGTATTTCTGTCATTTCTACGCACACTGAGTCAGCTGTCATTAAACAAGAAAACAAGTGCCTAATCAGTTTTGATTTTTGTTATTCAGAAGAAGCAATACTTGCAGTCACTCCAGTGTAAACTTCCAATTACTATTGCAATTCTGACCAGTATAAACCTCTATTTTGCACCATAGTTTTATAATGAAGTAACAGCTACAGTTTTTGGATGTTTTTTTGGTTCATTTGGGTTTCTTTGTCACTGTTTTGAGGGGAGAGGGGAGTTATTAGTGGTTTGGGGTTGTTTTGTTTTCACATTATAGATACAAAGGGATAGTAATTTAAAAGCCAAAGAAAATAAAATTAATACTTATATTTAATAAGTACAGAAAAGAAGCAACATTTTACGGTCCTCTGAGAGTTTTGTCCTGCAATCACTAAACATTCAATATTCCTGTAGTCTTGTGTTGGTAGATTTTCGGGAATCAGAAATGCAGGACCAAGCTCTTAACTTTTTACAATTTGTTTTATCTGGTTTATATTGTGGAATACCTAGTAGGTAGAATTTACAACATTGCAAGAAATATTTCATACTTAGCAGAAAACATGATCCACTTTCTGAACAATCTACTGTGTTCTCTATTGAAATATTTACTATTGTTGCCTTTTATGTAAATAACTTCACTGTGATAGTCATACTTCTTTATACAATACAGCTGAAAAGATCTTTACATTCAGCCTTTAGCTGTTAAACTTTTAATGGTGACTACTGTATGGGCATCTTCTGTTAAATGTTTTCTGGAAGTTAGTAATCATCTCATACCTCTTAACATTTATTGTCATCATACATGGACCATTTAGATGGAACAGTGCAGATTTTGGAAATGGTGCATTATATCACAAAGCTTATGCAAAAGGAAACCAAAAGTTTTCACAAGATCAGCATTCTACAGCTGTGCTGGGACCAGGTCTTGGGTTTGAGCCATTGTTGTCATTGTCATTCTCTATGTGTTTGCATGTACACCACGCTCTGACATGTAAACCCTAGAGTCAAATAAATCTTGATTGTGATTGTTAGAACATCTGTACCCTCAACTCTCTTCATATTTCCTACAGCGATGACCATTCCGTGTGAAAATGCAAGAACACAGAAGATCCATAAAAGTTACTTTAGGCAAGATAAAATGAACCTGGTAGTCTTATGCCTCACATTTATACAATGAAATGATGTAAAGTAAAAAATGGTATAATCATGTCAATGTGTCATTAGATTATAATCATAATGCAGGAAAAAATAACAGTACCAACTTCCCCCATCAACATGGTTCTTATTTATTTAAAATGAATTTCTACTTCTTGAACTTTCTGTTCTCAAAAACTCAAAGATGTGTGTGCATACAGAGATTTGTGTAGGTATACACACATATATATGCATATCTATATACGTAAGAAAAAATATAAAACACATTTAAACCATCAGGAGAGGAACCTAGCTTGCCTTTTCTTGGTGTGCCTTTTAAGCAAAGTGTCATTGTCCAGACACTCTTACCTGCATCCTTAGCAGCTAAATTTTCCCTTTCTCTATCTTAAACTTTTCACACCAAAAATAAGACACTGATTTTGAATAATGTGGCTTTACAGTGTAATAGACAGTGTAACAAAAATTATCACAAATTTCATATTTTGTGTATTCTGAAAACTGTAGTAATGTGGCACCCTAAAAATTAATTGCTTATCCTGAGGGACTCCAGTAAAAGGCCATTTTAGACTAGAGCTGTTGCAGTCTGGCATCTGAAAGCCATCAGAAGGACATCCTTTCTTCAATCCTGATGTATCTGCATAGAAACAACTCAATTTTTGTGCATATGCATGCACACAAGAATGGATTATACATGCAGGAAAAAAAATCAAAACACTATTGAATAAAACAAATGTAAACAAGCTACTTAAAATGCATCTGATGTACTGTAAACTCTGTAGATACAGGATGCTTGTGACCAAAGAATACTTTCACCAATTAATATGAAATCAGTAATGTTTCCATTCTGGTATGGTGCACACTGTGGTCAGTGAGAGCTGCCTTTGGCTTTAGCAGCCAAAGTATGGAGCTCTAAATTAATGTGCAAACATAGTATAGGGAAATAAGTTTTATATTCAGAGATGGACGCAACTTATTTTTTCTTTCTTCTGTTTATATAAATGAATCAAATCATCCATGTTGATGACTGCACGTCTCTACTGGAGGATGAGCATCTCTGTAAAGGAAAGTCAATAGTATAATAAATAAGATATTTTAAAAGCAAGCGTTGCAGAAAACCTGATAGAACTACTGACAAGTTAACCTTCAGTAAGATTTTAACCAAGCAATTTCTTGTTTGCTTCTGACTTTGTATGTTTAGGTTTAGTAAGTTAAAAAAAATGAAAAATCATTGCTTATTACTAAACATTTGTAATAAAAGCTAATTTTTCATGTATAATTGTTGACTTGTTGTTCATTCTAACTGAAGTAAAATTATCTTAATAGTAACCATTAATATTCATTTCCATAGTCATCCCTCATGCTTTTGTTTCCTTTCTATAACTGCAAGCCCAGCTGTGAGTGCAGAAAACCGTGTCTCTCAAAGTCAACTCTGGAAAGGATTTTTCCAGATCACAACGTTGTTGCAAGATCTAGAAGTCTGAGGATCTCCATGAAAGCATAGCAGGCCTAAGGAAAGAAATCCTCAGTATTAGCAGACATAAATGGCTTGTGTTGCTCCTTTGTTTTTCTCATTGCACTAAAAAATCAATAAGTAATGGATAGGCTCGAGTAGGAAAAGTAAATACATATAATGAATTTGATTCCATTGCCCATTTATTTTCTGGTTTTTTTTTTTAATTATTCTCTTAAGAATTTGCCCACAGACATTTTCATGAAAAATGAACTTGTGAGCAAAACTCCTTAGTGATCCACAGTGTGTTTGAAGTGACAAAATTCTACTGCTAATCTGAACTAATTTGACAATTAATTGGCTAGAATAATTATTTACTGTTTATTTATGCAAAATAATATGTTGTCTGCGTTTGCACAGTGTATTCCAGTGAGAGTGCACAGTGGCTCAGGCTGCTTCTCCATCCGGTGTGTTTGTTGAACTTCCAAATATAAATATGGCTCATGATGAGTGAACCCCTGCACAAATATGTGAGATAGCCTGGCTCCCCCTTAATAGGCACTGGTGCTTCCAAGCAGAATGTGAACTGTACAACTTCTGTAAAGTACTTTGTGTGCGTGCTGCTCTGTCACTGTGATATGATGGGAGTTACATTTTCTTAAGTGTATACATGGTTATAAAGCTAATTAAAAAGACCTCACAATGTGAGGAAGTCTATATTTCTTTGCATTCTTAAATACTAGTCTCCAGCTTACTGTGGCATTTCTTTTTCTGTTTCCAAAGATCATGATGGGTGTTACATAGTCATGTCACAGAATCAATTAGGTTGGAAAAGACCTCTGAGATTATTGAGTCCAGCCTATGACCAAACCACCATCATGTCAACTAGACCATGGCACTAAGTGCTGCCTCCAGTCTTTTCTTAAACACCTCCAGGGCTGGTGACTCTACCAATTCATGGAAGTTTTCCAACTTGTTTAGGTTGGAAAAGACCTCTAAGATCAGTGAGTCCAAGTGTTAACCCAGCACTGCAAAGTCCACGCTAAAGCCTAAGTGCCACATCGACACGTCTCTTAAATACCTCCAGGGATGGTGACACCACTGCTTCCTTGGGCAGCCTGTTCCAACGCTTGACAATCTTTTTGGTGAAGAAAATTTTCCTAATATGCAATTAAAACCTGCCCTGGTGCAACTTGAGGCTGTACCATGCAGTTGGCTGGGAAATTTGCGTTGGGATATTTGTATACCAGGCTGTGATGCAGCTGAGTTATGCCCACTATTGCCACTGAAAACCTTGGAGAGGACGTGTCCTGGGTAGCATGCACACACCCTGTTTCTCACCATTGTGTTGTGCCAGATGAAGTAATAGCTTAAGCTTTTTGGGGAAAACCAAATTACATTGATGTTCAGTGTGAAGTCATTAAGTTGCACTTGTAGATTTGCCCTGTTAAATTTGTTTTAAAATACCTTTTCACAGAATGTATTTCTCCTCTCTGTTCAGTGTATTCATTATGGAAGGGGCCTATCTTTTATATGGTGTGCTCTCATCCATTTTTGTTTGGTTTAATTTGTTAGGGGTTTTTAAAGCATACTTGAAAATTCCCCATATTTTCCTTCTCTTCCCCCTGCTCAGGAAGATGTATGTGGGCTTTACTTTTCAGAGCATCCCCTGAGCCAAGAGTCCTTGGGACATTGTGCCCAAGTGCAAATGTCAGCAACAGCTTTTATTCTCTTCTTCTATTCAGAGATCACTGAAGTGAAGTCTCAGATATCCTGTTTTCCCTTCCTTTGAAAAGATGGGATGTTCAGATTCTAAGCAAATCTTTCTCTTTCAGAATATTTGTTAGTCCCAGACCAACAGATACTTGATACTTTTTTCCACTGTTAATTTCACAGATTCCTCCTAGTTTCACTAGGCCTTAGAGAATCTTCTGGACTGGAGAAGAGTGATATTTGAAGAAATAGGAAGAAAGAAACATTTTTTTAAATCTTTGGGGAGAAAAGAAAAAGCATATGGCATTTGCACCTGGACAGGCTGCCTATGAGGCTAACTATGGATGTGAGGAAAAAAGTGTTGGCTGACAAAAGCAAATCAGGTGGTCATCTATGTAACTTACTGTTCTGTGTTGCTGTTTCACATCTAATTTTCTTCCATTCGTGTTTTTTGTCTTCTATGTTCATGCTTTATTTATTTCCTTGCCACTTTCAAAGTTAGAAGTTTTAATTTTTCTCAGACTTTATAAATGGAAACATCCCATAACAGTGCCAAATAAATAAACATGTTCTCAGCAGGGCACAACGCTTACACGACATCCTAAGTAGGTGCACAGTTCATTCAACCCTTTCGATAAAACCATCTCCATCCATGTCTTGCCCAGCGTGGGAGCAGGGAAAGCCTTTCCATGCAGAGGCAAACAACATCTGCTGTCAAAAGCCTCCACTACCCCAGATGAGTGGGGAAGCAAAGGAAAACACCTTGGTGACCTTGGTTGGGTTTTTTTCCATGTTGACAGGGCTGCAGTATGGCCATAGCACCCATAGGTGTGCCCGCAGCAAGGAATCTGAGAATCATGTTTAACGCTTGGGAAGGATAAAGTTCCCTGTGTCTGTTTTTTTGTTGATGTGCAACAAATATTTAGTGTACCTTAGGGAACTGTCTCAGTGCAGTGGAAGAGTTTGTGTAAAGGCATCAGCTAATGATCACTCCATGCCCTGTGCCAGGGTGTTTCTTATTCCAATAGCACTATTCCTTGGCCTCCCAAATTCTTACTGTGGGTACTGGGTTTAGCTTTACTAGAAGTGATGGTGGGAACAGGAAGGTTTCGTGTGATGTAGGCAAACAGCCAGAGTTCTTGCTTGGTGTTGATACTTGATCAGTGAAACAGGCCTTTCTAAAGGCCACAGAAAATTCAGAGGGGATAAACTGGGCAGTAAGCAGGGAGCTGCCCAGAACCAGGCAGTGGGAAGGCATTAGAAGGAATTAAACTAATCTGATTCTGGGCTCAAATGCTGGTTTTTCTGTCTGTCACAATGCGGGAAAACATTAATGATATTTACCGTTTACCATGGCACTACCATTTACCAGCGATCTTCAAATTTTTTTCTTTAGATTTCACAGCTTCAGAGGTTAAATTTGTAAATATACGTGACCACGTGCTAATGTATCTGGATATATTTTTTTCTGTCAAATTAATTAAACCATATATTGTTTACTGAAGACCTGGTCTCATCTCTCCAGGGATATTTCTTCTGAGGACATATTTTATATTACAGTATCTCTCCCTAGCCAGCTCCCAGAGGAAGATGTAGCCCTCCTAGTCCTGTTTCTTCCCTTGAGGACAGTATTTGGAGATGACCAGTATAATTGTTCTTTCACTGCACCCAGGTGTGCCCAGAAACACACACGAGCAGCCCCCCCATGCATCCTTTCATTCCCTTGGTGTCACTGGAAGGTTCGATGTATGAGAAGGTGGCTGTGGCCCTCAGATGTTTCTAACACTTTTTCCCCTCTTCAGGTCTTTCTGCTGCTTTGGACTCCTGGGCTCCCAAAGCCTGCGTGGTTGCTGTTAAGGAAAGCCTTGCAACCAGTACATCAAAGAGGGACACCAAAAGCTTTTGATTTATCTGACACTAAGCTTTTTGTGTGATGCATCAATTGATATTTCATTTTTATTACAGTACAATGGGGTATACGGGCTTAACAGCAAGAAGTGTCCCTTTGATCTCTCATTGCACATGAAAACACGTCATAGTCCAGAGATTATGAAGGTCAGAGATTATTTGAGGAAGGATTAAGCAGAGTTACCTTTTTTCTTAGCAACCATATCCAAAAGCATGACATACTTTTTAAAGTGCAGGTGTTATTTCAGTCTCTAGATAAGTTGTATTTATTTGTCATATACCAATTTTCCCTGCTGAAACTATGGGAGAAGACTAGAATTTTTCTGTGTTACATATTAAAAATGCAGAAACAAGTCAAATGCTGTACTGATAAATACAATTAATAAAGTAACTTTTTCTGAGTCTCCTAATGTCCAGAAGAAATTTTGGGTTGCTTTTCCTGTTAGTTGATCTTTACAGAAGATGGTCCTGAGCCTGTCCAGAAAATAATGGGGTGAGTCGAATAATGTTCAACACTACCCTTCATATACATATACAATTGCTTAATCCAAATCCTATTTACCTCAGAAAGTGTACAGAATTCTCTAGTGCAGTGAGTACTGGTTCAGTATTTCAATAAACACAGCTGAAATCTTGCTCTGACTCATTCCAAGAGTCTCTCCTCCCATTAGAAACTCTCAAACAACCAAAAGTAATTTGGTAACCCACTATGGGTATGTTGGTATCTCTCCTGCCAAGGAAGCACATCCACCACTGTTTGCTCAGCTTTAATAGAAATACTTTAGCTTTTGGGGCTGTTTATATTCCACAATGTAATGTGGCTAAAACGGATGGCAATAGTATTGTAGATTCAACAAACCTGTTTCTCCAAGTTAGTGTAATTATAAATTTCATTGATAACCAGATGTTTAAACAGCCCCTAAACATGTAAGTACGGGAATAAATAGGAATTGAGGATTTCTAGGATTACAGTAGCCCCACATCCCAACAATTAATGCAAATTTATTCCGTGAGTGGGTATGAGTTTGAAGCCTTTTAAATGTAGTTAACATTGATTTATTCAGCCCATCAACTGACATGAATTTTATACATCTCATAGCACTTATCTTCATTCACTGCCTCCACACAAAGCTTGACAGTTCAGTCCTATCTTGCAGTTAAAGTAGGAGGAAGTCTTATTCGCAAAGTGTTTGACCAATATGAACTTAAGTGTTTGGTTCAGCTCTTTGCTTTAGAACAAGGAACAATTCGGGCATTTCAAGAAGAGATTACTGCTGTGCTTCTGAGGTGTCTTCCAGCTTCTGTCCTGAGCAATGGAAATGAGGCTGCTCGGGGCTGACTGGGCCCTGTGCTGCAGAGCCAAACAGCTCCTGTGTTCCCTCATCACAGGAAGTGACAGAAACTGCTTGGCCTTACTTACCCAAAATACCACGAGGCTGCCAACCTCATGTTTAGAGTGCCATGTTACTAACCCAAGTGAAGGAAGGGTATGTCTAACACCCCTGTTTGTGCTTAGAAATTTGGAAATCTACACTTTAAGAACCTGGTCTCTCATGTTTGGTCCAGATTTTTAAATGAAGCTATGTAAGACATGGCTGTCCTGTGCACTTTTCAAGGAAAAAAATTGAAACACTATAAAGCTGCAGCTTTGTTTTCCATTCAGGTTTATTCTTCTTTTCTGAGCTGCATTGGATTAACATTTTATTTTAAAAGCCCGGAATCCAAGTAAACTGACCTTTCATTCACCATAGCTTTTTCCTCACCTTCTCTGTCAGGATGGAGAAACACATTTTCCTTTTTCAGTAGTGCTTTCTCAGGATGGAAGATTGTCAGGTATCTTGTTTCAGCAATCACTAACTGCCTCTCAGTGTCTTTTTCTTCTATATTCTCGGTATGTCTAGACTGACCTATCTCTGAATCTAAAGGGATTCTTAAGAAAATCAAATGCACTGAGAAACACCTGCCACCTCCTGTTCCTGGCATGACTGCCATGTCCTGGCATGTTAAATGGTTTTGGAGCTTTGAGGCTCCTGCTGAGTGTGAGGAAGCACACTGATGTTTTTGTGTGCTGGTGGATGGGCCAGTGTAACTTCTCATGTAAAGCAGAGTCCTTTGTGCTCTCCAGCACTGCCTTGGTAGCACTGGTGAGGGCTCCAGTACAGTTCCAGTTTACTGTGCTTGGTGAACATGAGAACCAGGAGTGGGGCTGCCTTCAGCAATGTATAAGGAAGCCTCGGTGCATTTTTGCCACCAAAACATAAGCAAAATTTCCCTATATATGCAAAGCATTTTCAGTGATGCAGCTGAGATGCCCCATGCAAAAATGAACTGTCAAACCTGACAGTTCCCTTGTCAGGCTGAATATGAAAGGATCAGAGAAGGAGCTGCATCCTGACTTTGGCCAGTTGAGATGTCCCTGCTGTGGGACCTGCCTTGCCTCTCTGCTGGCCATGCAAGAGAAGGTGAGATGTGTAAGGGGGAATAGGATGGGGATAACCCACTCTTCCGGAAGGTGCTTGCAGGTGGCACCAGCCTCTTCCCTGGTTTCAGCTGTCTTCTTTAGAGCATGTTCCCACAGGGAATGCTGAGAACCAGTTCACCAAAGGAAAATACATCCAAGGCTTTTTCCTTCAGGTTTTCAGAGTAGGGATCAAAAGGTTAAAAAAGGATCATACCAACACTGACAGTAGGAAGCTGTGCCTTGGTATGGAAAGAAGAAAAAAAGAAACATAGAAAATGGATTTTTCCCAAAAGTAAACCACATTTTTGACATGTTATCTTTTGCCATACTTGGAAAACCTGACATACAAAGACGCTAGCCCATGGGCTGGCATGCCTAGGCACTGGTACAATCAAAATAGATTATAATTTACCTGGTAATTAAACAGATGGTCATTAAAGGGGCTATGCTAGGGTGTCAATATTTATAATACTTCCTAAAATGAGACAGAAGATGAATTTCAAAAATTGCATTGTAATTTTAAAGGATAATTTCCACTGAAAGTTGGTGGGATTGCTGTTCCTGAGTCAGGAACTCCAAACCCTCATTTTGCTGTGTAAGAACCCCAGCACATCACCCATATGTCATGGAGGCTGCAGGAATAACCACATCAGGATATGGCAGATAGATGGAGAGGATAAAGCAAGAAGTACAGGACTTGAGATGAGCAGCACAGCAGCTGCTGGTAAGCAAACCGTGCTGTGGGAGTACCACTTATTTTACAAATGGGATTAAGAGTTTTCTTTGAAAGTCAACGGTGTAACCAGTGGAATAGTCTGCTCGGAGCTACACAGGCTGGTGCACCACACAGAGCACGGTGCATCGGGTGACAACAAGCAGATGTCGGACTGTGCATCTGAAAGTGGGCAGCTCTCTTAGGCTGCTTTAGATACATAGCAGAAATTGTCAGATTTATAGCAGACTTTGTCCAATTACCAAAAAACTTAGCCCTGTTTATTTCTGAACAGAGATCAGTGAGAAGCCAAAGCCCATTGGTACCCTGGAAGAAAAAATGCAAGAGTGGGAGGTGCTGATGTTTCTTCTGCACTTGTGTGAAGCTGAAATGTTGGATTTGTGCCACTGCCTCCTATGGCAGATGCATGTGTTTACCCAAGTGAGGACTTACATGATTTAGGGTTGTGTGTAAAGGGTGAGGTGATGTCAGATAAACAAATTTCTGCAGCGTCCAGTGGGAGGTCAGTTTGAGTCTCAACACCTGTGAGATGATTCTCCATCCTCTGTACTATCAGGAGAAAAAAATTCCAGAGCCAGACCTTTGCCAGAACTGTCATGTGATCTTGGGAAACACTTTCTAGAGTGTTTGGAGGTCGCTTCCTCCAGCTGACAACCCATAACTTTATTTATGAGAGGTGAAGAGATCCACAATCTTTAATGAGGGTGATATTTCTTAGCAGCTTCAGTGATTGCTCTGTAGAACTGTTGCTTTGAATGATGTATTGACCATTGCTCCATTGTTAACCCAGTAAATTATTCTCAGATGAGAAGCATAATTTTTTTTTTTTTTAATTAAAAGGCAGAATCAGTAAAAGATGCTTCATAAACTGGGTGGGAACATTCTTCTACCCTGCCTGAATAGTGGGCAACTTGAAAATTAGTTACAGGAGATCAAATTAATTTCTGGTGTAACTTAATGGGAAGCCAGGTGCATAAAGTGGAAAATAAATTAAGAATAACATGATGAGAAAAGAATAGTTCCAGCACAACACCTCACCGAGGGATATGAGTGGTGACTTGGGTTGAATGTTGTTTGAAAGTACCATCAAAGGTAGATTAAAATCAGGAGTATTGTGAGAGGAAATGGATAACTAGTACAGCGAGAGCAGTTACACCGGGGGTTTTCTGCTGCTTATGTGTGCACAGCTGGGGCCTCGAAGGATGGGGGTTGTTTTGTAAGAGATGAAAGGTCATGTCAAGTTGATTTAGTGCCGACAAGTGCTGGTGATTTGTTGCTCAGTCCCTAATCTGTCAGGTAGAGAACAAGAAACTTGCACTGTTTGTTCAACTGAAAAATGTGGGCTCCCCAACAAAACCACCAATTAAGAGCATTTCTAAAATTAGAAATCTAGCCTGATGTATTTGTTTAAAAGAAACTTATCTTCACAATGAGACCCACGCTTCTCTTTGATTCTAATATATACTCAGAATATCCTGAAACTTAAATCAGTTCTTAATCCCTGGTGGAATATCATTTTTATGCATTTAATTTTCATTTTGTGGCACAAAGCTGAGTTTTTGAGTGCGTTATACACTACTGGGACAAGAAACGCAGTACAAAGAGCACCAGATACAGTAGTTCCCTGCAGTCTTGTAAAGATCTATACAAAAAGGTACAAATACGGGAGGTATTAAAGTTGGAAAATTAAATGCCAAGTTCTTTGTTTTTAAGTTTGCAATGTGAAGTAGCTCATGCTCTATATAATATGTGAGGAAAAAACAGTCTGCTTTCAAAATGGGTAGTCTGCAGGGAAATAGAGAATTAGCGACTGATGAAAGTAAGTGAGTAATAAGCCAGGCAATAATACAAAATCTGAACATACTTAAAAAGCTTAATCACAATCTATATATAGATTTTACATCTCAGGAAAATAATGTAACATATTGCTTCTCGAGGGCATCTCCAACTCTCATAATAACCTAGATTTGTACTAGAAATCAGATTCTCTAACAGTTTATTCCTGGCAATCAAGTAAGTTGCCTCATTTGAAATGGTACCACAATCCTACTTTAAACAATACAAAGCTCTCAGACAAAAGAGAGTAGGCACAGCATTTCCACTGGTGCCAGGAACATGACTGTCACAGGTAGGAGGAGCACATGCCAATGCAATGTTCTTCAGTAAACTGCATATCCATAGTAAGGAGATTTCTGACCACAACAATTTTCAAGTTTCAAACTCTGGAGAAAGTGACCAATTAGTCCTCTCATCCTTCAGTTCTGACTCACTGGTTATGGAATTGCAGATGTCCTGCTCTTACACAACAGTGAGTGAAGAATTCTGGCAAAAGTACTGACTACTCAAAAAGTACACTACACAAAGCCCCTGTGAGGCTTTGGAGAGACCGAATTTTTTCTTCAAAGTGTAATGATTTTTCTGCAGTTTTTATTTAATGAGAGGTAAGGTTTTTCAGCACTTATTGCACTGAGCCCTAGAATAGAGGTTACTTCACAAAATGGCAGGAAAAGTGTGCCTTATTCTTCTTCCTTACCTACATATTTTGGGTGGAGCTAAGACAGAAACATTACTTAAGCCGTTAAATTATTATCCTGCTCGGTCAAAAATGCTGTTAGTCATAAGCAAATATTAAAACTGCTGTACAATGCAGTACAATGCCAGCTCAAACATAATAAGTCTAGGCAGAAGTAAAGCAGAAAGAAGGCTACATCCCCTAGGATGGTCAGGGAAACACAACTTGCAGAAAGAAAACTAAAAGGAAGCTTGGCAGGTATAATCCTGTGAAAATAAGCATGTAAGAGCATATGGATGCTGCCTACAAATACACTAGGAATACACAAAGAGGAAAATGAAATATTTAAGCAGTGTTGGCATAAGAAAAAGAAACAAAGTGGTATAAAGCATCCATTAATAAAATTATGCTAAAAGTTGTGCAAGCCTTGTAGAGCAGTGCAGCTCTGGAATGGTCTTCAGGAGGAGGAGGGAGGAAAAATGTGATTACTTTTAACATGGAGTTAGTTAAGTTTATGAAAGGAATTCCTGTGCACTGTGTAAAGTCACTGTCATGATAATAAGAACATATTAAATTTCAGTACTTTATTTACTTAGTGTCTTTGATCCAAAGCACTTATATAAAAATGCAATAATGAAAATTCCTTTCAACCAGTACAATAAAAGTCTGAATTCCTTGGGGTATTTAATTTTCTTTAGTAAAACGCAGTTTGGACACGTTCCATTCAATATTGGCAGAAATGACAGAGAATCAGCCCTACAAATAATAATAAATCTAGAACATAAGATAAGCTATAGGTTATTGAAATGATGTGTTGTAAAGTTTGGATCCAACGTTTGCAATGTTAAACTAGCAACAGCTGAGGAAATTTGTGACTCTTTGGCAAGTCTGCAGGTCTCATCAAATAACTGCCCTGAAAGTCACTGATTTTCAGCTCTGTGCACCTACTGTTTCTGAAACAGATAAAACCACTGCTTGGAGCTGGATTCTCTGAAGGCCCCCAGCCAATAGAATTAGTGAGAGTTTGCAGTGTCCTTTGCATCAGGAAGAGAGCTTGCCATCCTTGCAGCATGTAACCTGACCAGAGTGCATGAGCTGCACATGCCCACCTCTTCCTTCCCTTACTTCTTTCTTGGTACTTCCAGTCCAGCAGTTGACCTCAGGCTGGCCCATATTCTGCGTGGATGTTTGTAGGTGTGTGATAGTTTACACACACACAATATGAATCAGGAACAAGAGTACTGAATTTATGCCTATCACCCAGCAGAGAACTTGAACCAGACCTCCAGAAGTGAAAACCTTAGCAAAATGTTTCAAGTTTGGACACCAAATTAAGGTTATCTAGATCTCTCTTTAATTTTCAGGGACAGCAAGCAGTGACTTGCAATGGATTTCATAACTTGTGCAGGCTCTATTGAGATCTTTGGTGAAGTTGGAAAGGACCATTTCCCTCATGCTTCACGGCCTAAATCAGGCTCTAACTCACATGAGGGGAGAGTTTTTTCAAAGGAAATGGGGTGAGGGGTAAGTTATTTCACATCGTGTATTCTGTGATAGATCACTGGGCAAACAGGAATGTGATCCTGGGTGCTCAGCTTTCTGTTTTTAGGTGGAACTGATACAGCAAAGCATCAAAAGATACAGATCAGACAGCAACCTCTAGTAGCCTAAATGAGGCAATTACCTATTCATGCCATATTTCCTTTATTCCATCAGTTGGGCTGCCCCTTGTCATGGTATACAAAAACAGTCTTCCAAATGTGACAATTTTAGCTTTAGTATTTTAATTTCTCTTCTGACTAGTCTGAATTTAATTTCTGAACCTCTCTAGTCTTTGCAAGTAAAACAAACAAACAAACAAACAAAAAATAATTAGAACATTATATGTAATAAATGGGATGGAAAAGCAGCAGGTTCTGAAGAGAAATGCTGTTCTGCCCACTGAGCACCAGTAGTTTGTTTTCTGGCACAGATCCCAAGAATTTAAAAGAGCCACCCAACAGTGGCTTCTACCTGTTGATTACAGGCTTCTACCTGTTTGATCTCTGTAAAGCTGTGTAAGGGAAGAGACTGAGCACTTGAAAAACAACTTTATGCAGATCCATGATTACTCTGGAAGTCCCAGATGATCTGTTCTCTCATGTCTTTTTTGGGTTTGTTTTCTTTTTTTTTTTAAAAAGTACATACCAGCCCTTGAAAGGATTTACATTGACTACATCATAGAAATAAGTAGGAGGTTCTACCCACGGCTGCTGCAGTATTAAGCTCTTTTTCTTTATCTGTTCCCTTCTTAGGCCCTTATACTCTCCCTTAGTTGTAAATTGTGAGTTTCTTTCTGAGGGAAAATGTGACTTACAGGGTGTTTTTTTCCTTAGAGTTTCCTTGGCAGAAATCTTAATGGAATTGTCTGTCATCAACACCTGCTTTCAAGCTTTTCTGATAAAATTAGATTTTATATCTCAGCATCACATATGGCATCTTTATAATTAGTCTTTTTGCAGTATATGAATGTCAATTCCTAAAATGCTGCCTGTACAGTTCATGTGGGAATATTTCACTTCATTAAACAAATCCAAGTTTTTCATTGGAGCTTCTAATTGTTGAAAGCCCACACATCTTTGTGTGTATAATCTCAGAACCATTTTGACAGACTGATACAGCATATTGCAGCTGCACTGAGACTGAGCTGGGAGCAGATCACTTCTGGAAATGTCATCCTGAGAGGTCTATGTGTGCCTCCATACCATTTGTGGAAATGCAGTATTTGAATATGTAGCTATCTGAAAGTGTGAGGTTGCCTTCTTCAGAGGGTTCAGTATTGACCTAATCTTGGAAGCACAGGAAGGTCTATGCTTAGGAGAGTCTCAAAAGTATTACTATACATAACATTTCAGAACAAGAACACCCAGATTTTAACATACATACTCAAGAGTAAGCAAACTTAGTGGAGTTTTCAGACAAGTGACAATCAGAATTACTGGTCAGCAATATGGATAAAAGTGTTCGCATATCAGTGACTCACAGGTGATCGTTTTAAACTGTTGTAAAATGCATGGCAGTCCTACACTAGTACAGATACCAGTATAGGTGATGTGTGATTTTTTTCATTACTCATGTCACATCTGAAAATTTTTATTCCACTTGTCTACGTTCATTTCTCTGCTCAGATGAGAAAATGCACAAAGTAACAGATCATCTTTATACCACTAGCACTAATGTCATGGAAGTGGTAACATTTGCATGGAAAGGACAGCATTTAGTATCCAATGCAATAGGATGAAAATGTGCAAACTGTCAACTTGTAATAGAAATGTCTTTAGTTTCTCAAGTGCCAAGTGCAGTGTCAGCAACACTAACCTTTGGAAAAAAAAAAAGAAGACAAATAGGAAAACATTTATAAACATAGCTCTTGATAGCTCTCATGCAAACTGCTGTCAGACTTGTATGCTAATGCAGTGAATCATTCAGGCTCAGCTCACTGGGGGTACTCCTGCTCATATTGGTCAAACTAGCCATAAGGGATTTAACTTTATAAGCATAGTAGTCCCTTAAGTTGATGGATGGAACTTCTTTCATGCCATCACCAAAATCACAGCTTCTCATGGCACTCTCTAACTGCTTCTGACGCCTATAAAAGTGGGAAAATTTATTGAAGATCAGTGTAATGGGAAGCACTACCACTAGGATACCAGCTAAGATGCATGCAGATGCTGTCAACTTGCCAGCAGTGCTCCCTGGCACAACATCTCCATAGCCAACTGTGGTCATGCTAACAGTAGCCCACCACCAACAAGCAGGGATGGTGGCTAGCCCCTCATTCTCTTCTTTCTCAATGGTGTAAGCCACTACTGAGAAAATGGAGATGCCAACAGAGAGGTAAAGTAAAAGAAGGCCCACCTCTCTGTAGCTATACTTCAGGGTGGCTCCAAGAGACCTGAGACCTGTGGAGTGTCTAGCAAGCTTTAAGATGCGAAAGATCCTCATGAGTCTCAGGACTTGTGCAACTCTGCCTAAATTTGCTAAAGTCGGACTACTTTCCACCACCAAGTTGACAATTAATGTAATGTAAAATGGAAGGATAGACATTAGGTCAATCAAATTCAGGGCATGCTTGAAAAATTTTAAAAAGTCAGGAGCTACTGCAAATCTTGCCACCAGTTCAAAAGTGAACCATGCAATACCAAAATGTTCCACGATTTCAAAGCGAGGGTCTTCCTCGGGGTTCCCATTACTGTCAACAATCTGAAAGTCTGGGAGGCTGTTCAGGCACATGGTCACGATGGAGCCCAGCACCACCACTATTGAAAGGACACTGAAGATGCGGCTTAAAACCGAGTACCCAGGATTATCCAAAGCAAGCCAGAGCTGCCTCCTGATGTTTCCAAAGGGCTGTTTATCAAATTTAGAGGCATCGTTGTAGAATGCCAAAATCTCATCAAAAGAAGATGTGGTACTTTCCTGGTCACTTTGTTCCTCCCATTTCTCTTGGTCTGGCTCCATTTTCCTCCCATGGTAGCTATAACTGCAGCAGGAGTCTATAAAGAATTCATTGATTCCCCAGTATTCAATCTCCTGGCTGAAAGAAAACACACAGAGTTCTCCCATCACATGGAGCTTGCCGGTGTTATAAAAATGTAGCACATAAGGAAAGAGCTCGGGGTTCCTGTCAAAATAAAATTCATTCTTGGTATCATCATAGTCATCGCAAAGCTCCAGTATTGACTCCTTTGAGTGGCAGCTCAGCAATTTGCCCAGCCTGGTCTCAGGGAACCTTAATAATGTGTTGGATCTCATCTTTTTCTTAAAGCCTCCAACGTTGATGCTGATCTCATTGTCTTCAAAATTCGCTTCAGATAAAGCATTCAGACTCTGCCCTGTCATAGTGAGCTCCTTCCAAAAGTGTGTAGGGAATGAATACCTAGGATGCAATTGCACAGAAAGTTGACAGAATGAACAAATCTACAGCATGTTCACCTATTGATGTTTGCTTTTCTTTCTTTCTCTCTTTCTCTCTCTTTCTTGTTTTCTTTCTTTTTCTCTTTCTTTCTTTCTTTTCTTTAATTTTCTTTCTTTTTCTTTCCCCCTTTTTCTCCCTTTCCCCCACCGTTCACCGACTTTCCCCTCTTTTTCACCCTCTGACCCATATCTCCCCTTGTTCCCCTTTTCTTTTCTCCCACCTCCCACTGAGGACCCTGAGAGAGGCTCCTTTGTTCCCGCTGCAGGCTCCTGTTCCTCCCCGCGCCCTTCACCTGGGCTGCGGCTGCCGCTCCCCACCAACCCCCCGTTACTCACGGCCTTTGTGCCACAGGCTCTGTGCGGACCTTTCCCTGCCTTCTGCTGCTCCCGGCCCCGCCAGACGAGGAGCCCCCCCGGCCGCCGCCGCCCAGGCTCCCGGTCCCCACCGCGCCTCAGGGGCCGGAGCCTCCGCTCTGCGCGGGGGGCGCCGCTGCCCCCCGGCCGCAGGGGATCCCCCTGCCCGACTCCGCTCGGCTCTGCGCCCGCCCTACCTGCTGCCTCAGCGGCCGCAGCCCCCCGCCGGCGCTCCCCGTCGCCCCCGGCCCCCGCCCGCCATCGCCGCCGCCCGCGGGGGCCGCCAGGGCTCGCTTCGCTGCCCGGGGGGTGCTGGTGCCGGTGAGGTGTCGGGGTGATGCCGGTGCCGGGGAGATGCCGGTGCCGCTGGGATGACGGTGCCGAGGGGGTCCTGGGGGGATGCTGAGGGGATGCCGGTGCCCGTGCCGGTGGGGTGCAGGTGCCGGGCAGGGCAGGGCAGGGCGGCCCCGGTGGCCGCGCGGTGCTGAAGGGACAGCGGCCGCCCCGCTCAGCAGCGGGAGGCGGCGGCACGCCCGCTCGTCATGGCGACGACCCCCGAGGCTGCCGCCCGCCCCCGCCGCTCCCACCTACCCCCCGCCCGACCCCGCCGGCGGCGATCGGGGCTGGTGGGTGGGCGGCCGGGGGCTGCGCAGGGACGGCCCGGCGGGGCCGCTGTGCCGGCGGTGCCTCCGCTCGCCCGCTCCCGCTCCTGCCCCCGCGCACCGGCGGCAGCGGCGCCGCAAACTCGGTTTCCCTCCCCACCGCGGTCCTGCCTCACGCCGGCTCCGAGGGGGGACGGGGGACGCCCACCCGCGGCCGCAGTGGTTCCGGGCAGCCGCGGACCCTCTCCTGAGGGGCGTCACCCGCTTCTCTACCACTCATCCTGCCGGGAAGGGACCGGGGGAGAGGGTGCCGCTATCCCCCCCTCCCCGCCCGTGGCACCAGCAGGTCCTCGCTGTGTTGCCTGGGCAGGGTCCCTGCGGGGACTCACAATAGGAAAGACGGGAGCACTCGTCGGGGCCATTTGGCGTGAGGAGAGCGGGGCTGCGTGTGGAGGCTGCTAGCCGCCCCCTCAGCTGCCAGATGGGACCCCCGACCTCCCCACGCTGCCCTGCCAGCCGTTTCAGGAGGGATGATCCTGAACGGCAGAACCTCGAGCGGGGCGGGTGGAAGGGCTGACCTCCCTGCGTTGCTGCTCTTGGCGGGGCAGAGTTTTCCGGCTGGCCCGGAGTGGAGTAATGTCCAGCTACATGGCCAGCGAGAGCAGCGTCCCTGCCTATGCTGGAGGCGACTGGGAGGAAATCTTTTCCCTCATGCTGAGCCCGACCTGAGGCCGAATTTTCTGGGCAGAAGTCTGGTCCTGACAGTCCCTGCGAGCAGGAGCCGACTGCGCACCTGACTCCCCGATCAGAGGCCGGCTGTGCAGAGCATAGATGCTCTGAGACAGGTGCTTTACAATGGGCTAACCCGCATGGTCTCCTGCCAGCTGCCTCCTGACCCCCTCTCACTCATGGTCCCACGCATCTGAAGTCCAGCTCCTGGAAATGAATTGCCGTCAGTGCTTTGTAGGATTAGGGAAGGCAGGGGGATGAAGACTCCTCGCTTGCTTCCCCCCACCCTGTCAGAGCCCCGAGCACTCCAGCCCTGTGCATCGCCTTCGGCTTGTTCCTCAAACCCTTGGCAAGGGAGAGGGGTTAAACCTTCCAACTCCAGCAGCCCATGAACCCTATTTACAAGGAACCCCCAGGTAATAAAGAACAGCCCTTTAAGAGCCCAGGAAACCGAGTGCAGACACGGAGTGGGGCAAGTAAGTCCTGGTGCATGGCTGGGTCTCCAGAACCCAGCTTTCCTGCCTGGGGTGTTTGATCACCCCACCACATCCCACCGATGCTGGTGCATTGAGTGTCCAAAGACTCCACATCTCTGGAGACACTTCCACAGCTGTGTGCATGGACCCGTAGCACCCTCAAGCCCCCAGAAATGCTTCAGAAAAATCCATGCTTCAGTAATACTACAGATGCTGCCTCTGCATGCCTTTTCTTAGGTGGTATTTGGTCTTGCTTTGCTCTCCTGCTGGTGGCTGCCTCCTGCCTCCCTTCCCTACAGATGCCCTGGCTCAGAGCTTTGTGTCCCAGAATGCTTCACTGCATATCCAGTGACATCCCAGGGGACATTAAATTATGTACACCAGGCTGCCCTCCTGGCCAGGGAAAATGCTGCTCCTCTCAGTGTGGTCCCCCAGCTCTTCCCCTTCCGGGACGGGGCACACAGGAGATAGAAGCTGCACGTAGCAGGGAGGAGGCTTTGCAAACCCAGTGACGACCTGCACGTTTTCCTGTAACAACGACTTTTCATGTTCAGAGAGGCATCTGTCCTGCCTCCCAGCAACAGCGTAGCTGTTGGGTTACTTTGTGACAGCCGCCTCCTCTCAGGGCTCTGCTGGCGAACTACTCAACTGGGGAGCTCTAATTGTACTGGCTTTTAATGCCTGGGGCAAGGGATGGCAGGACATAGGACTGGGAACCACCACGTTGAGATTTCTGAGTTGGATGCCATCCTAGGGCTTGGATAAATCACAAAACTTCTCTATCGTAATTTCCTGCTCACTCTTAGGAGAACAAGCATAACTTGTATTCCTTAGTGATGTTACAAGCAATAGTAAGCTGCTGCTGCTGGTAGTGCATTCAAGTGACGTCTGTGTGTTTTCATGAGCTCTGCTCTATCCTACCTATCTAGTGGGGTCTTTAAACATACTTAAACATCCTCAGAAAATTAATTAAAAAATCATTACTCTTCTTTCTTACTCTTAAATATTTTTTCCCTAATGCTGCTTCAGAAGAAACTAAGTGGAGATACGTTTAGAGGATTTCCAAGCTTTTATACATTGTTCTCACCTTCTGAGCCACTTTACTAAGAAAAACGGTTATAAGCAGTCTCATTACTCATTTATCAATCTCCATTCTTATCTTTACCTTGCAAAAAGCACTGGTCACTTTTCTAATTTGCATTTTCTTTTAAAAGACACAGTGAGGTTTATGCAGAGATGCTGGAGATAAGCAGCAAAGCAACATAACTGCATAAGGATACAACTCCCACTAGCGTAATATAACTGGTCCTGTAATTAGGGCTAATTGGATCAACCCAATCATTTTGCTAATAAGGCTAAAATGCTTCCAGCACCTAAGTTAGTAATCCAAAATTCATCTGAATGTTTCTGCAGGGTGTGCTCTCTGCTCCACAGACACAGAAGCAAGTCTGTTACTGACCTAGTACTTTTGCCTTTTCCAACAGTAACTACAGGAAAAATTGCTGTGGAGACACTATCACTGGTGGAATCCAAGGCAAAAGATATGTCAAAAGAAATCAGATATGTCATTTTTGCATGAAATGAGCTTGTGATGTGTCAGAGAAGAGCACATTTTGGGATAAATACAAAACAACCGTTCATTTCCAACGCCTTGCGGATGTTTATTGGACTGGAGAGAATGCAAGAGGAGTGCTGTGGTGGGGCTGGGCTGGGAATGTAAGGAAGCAAGAAAGAATTGCCTGTTGGAGCGGGGAGATGAATGAGTGATTCTTATCACCCTAGGGCAATAGCTAAACTAACTTTGGGTTTGCTGGTTATAGTTGCTGACTCTGAGACTGTGTGAGAGAGACAGAGCTTGTTTTATTGGTACACATGGTACCATGGTTTTTAAGGAACACGAGAAGGTGCCAGTGCTGTGTAAAAGCATGGCATGTGTACAGGTGCCTGCCAGGGCCGGGAGACATGGCACAGTGTTTGACTGTACACCCTGTCTGGGGCTTGTGGTGACCTGAACTGTGAGGGAATATGGAAATTATTGCCTGCTGGCAGCTGACTCAGCGTAGGAAGCTGCTGCTTAAGAAGCCATGTCCTTAGACCACATCTCCTGTCTGGTCCCTCTATGGCACTGTGTTCTGCAGGTGGGATACCCCGAGCCTTGGATGCATTATCACCTTTGAAGAAGTGAAACTGCTGTGATAACTACTACTTATACAGTGTTAATGAAGTACTGAATAGGGTCTAAAGGAAGTTATCATGAGTGGTTTTATTGGCATGGTGGATTTGGTGGATAGATTCGCTCTGAACTGGAGGACACAACCATCTATTATGCTGAAGGTGGAACTTTAGTCTGAACTTCATACTTATTGAAAAGTTCCCCTCTCTCCCCAGAGCCAGATTCAAGTGTACATTCTTGCTGAGTGTTTTCTTTTGCTCCAAATGGATTGGAAAATCCTAGAGTCTTAATGTGTTGGTTTAAGATCAATATAAAAGATTTGTTTTTCTTTCCAAATCCTCACAGATGGCTGAGACCCTTTTGTGACAGCAATTCTACTGCCACAACTGTTGACTGTGACCATTTGGTAAATACATCTAAAAGAAATCAAAATGGTTTTGCACATCATGATCATTTAAATACCCAAAAAGGACTGTTGCAGAACATTGCCAAGTCTAAAAGAATGAGTAAGTTGAAAATAGATTTAAACAAAATCATAAAGGCTACATACATCTCTGGATATTTATCCAAATGAACTGAGTACAGCCCAAGTTTGGCAGAAACCCTGATTGAGAGAGAACATTGCAGAAGAGGGACCCTTTTAAACATATTTTTTTCTTATCCCCTCACATCAGCAAGGTAGCCATTCTCATGATGTTTGGTTGCTGGCAGTCTATGGCCAGCCTTTTCTGCCTGGAAGCTTAATGAAAGGTGAGATTAGCCCTGCTTTATGATCTTTCAGTCATTCTCAAATCTCCCATAACCACAGGCAGAGAAGAAGTGCCATTTGTTTATGAGTCTTCTCACCCTGTAAGATCCCTGGCTGACATGCCTGCTTTTCTCAGGAGGGAAAGGCTTTGCACAAGCTCTGTGGTATTTGCAGTATAAAACTGGGGAGGGAGGAGAGTCAAACAATTTACTAAGCTAGAAGTTTACAAGGCAGTGATAGCCATGTTGGAAAACAGACCTCCACTGTGATAGAGTGGAACTCCAGTGGACCACAGAAAGGCCATCTGGCTGCTGAAGAAACTGAACCACATACTGAACATGAACTGAACATTTCTTTTCGGCTGACAGCACCTCAACAGAGTGACAAATACTGATCTTTTGTGGTGTGCTGATTGCATGAGCAATGAAGTTTTTCTGTGATGACTCTGTGGTATTCTGCCTTTTGTTGTGAATTGACCTGCTTAGTCACTGTTATGCCTGCTCCACCTGATTCTTGACTCTGAGGGACATGCGGCAATATAACCTTTTGCAAGCCCAGTGGGAACCTTTGTCTTCCTTAATTAAATCACCATTTCCAGATTCATGGAGTGCAAGGCAAAAAAGCATCATTAGATAATTGTGGCTTTCTTTTAGTTAGATTACAGAATTTCAACCTTCTGTCCCCTCCTGAAAACTGATGTCTGAGGTGGGTGAAATGAACCATACTGACAGATCTGCCCAGGCACCAGCTGAACTTCAGCAGTTAGCATTTCCCGTAGCAATAAACAATGGGAAAGAAGGGGGTTCAGAGCTGCATTTTTGGATGTAAATGTTGACCCGATGCAGTGCAATGGTCACTTTCCCAGTGGTATTTGGTGCAGCCAGCAGTGGGCATGACCTCTTTCATATTTGCTTGAATGGAGGTGGGGAGAAAGAGGATCTTGCTTGGATCCAGGTGATAGCTACTAGTTTTAAATCATGACTAAAAAGCCTACTTCTGTGCTATCAGTCAGATGACATCTCACTTGCATTTGGAACCTACCCCTGTGTTTCTTCTCTTATGCTTCTCACACTTCTGTGTATCTAGAAAACAAAGTCATGGGAACTCCAGCTACAGCACAGCTCCGCTCCTCTGGACAGATCCCCAGATTTGATATATTCTCAGCTGATTTGCTCTCACTGAGAACATGCCTCATGCTCAGATGGTGCAGAGTGTTTTGCCTCCATTT